GATGTCATATAATGCTGACATGACAAAATGTTTACCTAGTAAAAAATTACTCTCTCCATGTGAGTTCAACAAAATTAAAAGAAAATACCTAACCCTAAATTAAAAATTAAATGAGATTCACAAAAATAATTAAGAACTTAATAAAAATGATTAAGAGAGAAAAAAAAATCTACTACCGAAGAAGGAAGAGAAGAGAATCAATGGGTTATGAATCTGGACTTGAAGGTAGGGAAAATAATAGGTTTTCTTTTGAAGATTTAACTGGTTTTATATGAACAATTTTTCATTGAAAATTCAATCGGTTAAATACAAAGGCCTTTGATGAGAAGCATAAGTTCACATCAATTGCCGCTGCCAGAGTTGCTTTTCTATATCAGAAGATTGGTTTAATTGAGAAAATAAGTGCAGGCACAACCATGGTGAACAACAAAGCAAGGGAAATGGACTAGAAGGGCCAAGTTTGCATTTGCAATTGCTGAGCAGATGGTCAGCAGTGCTAGATCTGCTATTTTGTTAAAAGAAACAAACATATATGAAATTGCAAAAAAATCTTTATATTAACCAGTTGAATTTTCGAAAAACAATTACTGATTCAAAAACCAATTGAATCTTCAAAAAGAAAACCCATTATTTTCCCTACCTTTAATTACATATTCAAAATCAGTTGATTCTCCATCTCTTGATTCTCCCTCTTCGACGGTAGATTTTTTGTCTTTCTCTCTTAATTGTTTTGTTTTTTTGAAAGTTCTTAATGGTTTTTTGTTAATCTCATTTAATTTTTAATTTAGAGTTAGGGTGTTTTTTCAAATTTCTTTGTTAAACTCATGTGGAAAGTTAAACTTTTTTTTACAAGATAAACAGTTTGCCATGTCAGCATTATGTTATGTTAGCTTTGTCAAAATGCCACATCAACATTTAACGATCCAATTTAACTTAACGGTGTTAAAATTAATGATTGAAATTAAAAAAATTAATAAAGTACAAAAACTCAATTCATACAAATTATTGTATAGAGACTAAATATATACTTTTTGCATCGTACAACGATTAATTGCATAATTTAACCTTTAAGGTTAAATGTTTTTGAAAAAGATGAACAATTTGACATTTTTGGCTTGTGACCTAAAAGTTTAGTTCATTACAACTATACTACCCTGAAGCTATTAAATTCTAAAATTTAGTGACAGATATGCCATCCATTCATGTTCATGAAGCTATCTATGAAATTTGTCAAAACAATGAAACCTTCAATGTTGACAAGAGGAAATGCATAATCTTTTGTCATTTTAAAAAGTTACTTCCATCAAACTACTCCAATCTCACAAAGGTAAAGGTCAATTCTCTTAGTGTTCTACATGCGACAACTATAGTTGAAAAGAAAATAAAACTTTAAGATTGTTAGAACACCGAATTGAAAAATATAAAAGTTAGTTTTAAGGCATGTATCAATATCACTATTTTTAAAGTTTTATTTGCCCCCATTTATAGGTAGTGCTTGATACTTTATAATGCAATGTGATTTCAAATAATGTAATTGCAAATAATGTAATTGTAAGTAATGTGATTATAGGAAAAATAACATTGTAGCATTTTGTATATAAGTAAAATTATGATTAAAATGTAAGATAACATTGCAACATTTGGTTTACAAATACTTTGCTGCAAATGTAATGTCAATTTTTAAAATTATTTATATTTATTAAAATGCAAGTTTAATCTATTTGTATTTTTTATTGTTAATTTTGATATAATATTATCTCTTAAATATATTTTTAATGTTATATGTTTTATTTTTTTATTATAATCTTATATATTTTATTTTCATTTTTAATATAATTTTCTATATCATATATTTTATTGTAATTTATTTTTCCTTTAAAAGACAATATAAATTTTATTGACAATCATCATGACTACTGAGAATAATTAAAAAACATTTTCGAAATCTATATAAAAAAATAAATTATGATATTATAAAATATTTTTAACAAAATAACAAAATTGAAAGGTAAAGATGTCTTTAAAAACATTATAAAGAGCAATACAATCTAATTGCATTGGTTTTAACTTATAATTACATTACATCTATTGATTATAATGTAATTACATTATAATCTTACATTATAGTAGTTTGTTGCAAAACAAATACTGTTGTAATAGACATTAGCGTTTATGTATGCTGCAGCTTATTGTTGTTGCTACTCACAAGCAACCAGCAGAAAGTATGGCATGGAATTCATTGACTTTCAGATTTTTCTCCTTAATGTCTCAGTTTTGAAACTAACTGCATGGTTCATGAATGTTTTCTATTGGAATAAAGTGATTGACAATTATTCTAGCGATAAGCTAGACCTGATTTGGATGTGTCAAGTTATTTGAGGCTAGCAGCTAGACTTGTCA